GCTTAAAAAAAAAAAAAAAAATATATAGGTATGTACACACACACACACACACATATATATATATATGTATACATGATGTATGTATGACCGTAACTAGCCGAAGAACCTAATTTAAAAAAAAAAATAAGGCAAAAATATTAATATACATTCCAGTGTGCCCGAAATTTTAATTTTAACATTTTTTATTGTCCAAGACACGCACGCACACACACACACACACACACACACACATACATATATATATATATATATATATATATATATATATATATATATCAAATATTTGATTTAAAAGAACTGATTAGACGTACAAATTTTCGGGATAATAACAGAGGCATTACGCTATTTATTGAACTATTTAGTTCATCCTACAAAAAAAAAAAAAAAAAATGTCTTAAATTACCATATTAGTAAAAAAACTCACTTAAATGTTCAAATATTCAACCTTAGTGTTGCAACTGCACGTTCTACAAGTCTATCCGTTATCGATAAAACATTTCCAAAAAAAAAAAAAAACTTAACATATTTCGATTTGGATTATATATTTTTGTCTCTAGCTACCATGCCTGATAATGACCGGAGGACCTGTCGAAAGACTTGCATATTTATACAGTATATAATTTTAAAAAACAAGGATCATCGAGTGGTTAGTGGGTTAATGCATCTTTAAAATTTAGTTAGCGAAGTGATTTCGCCATTTTATATCATTAACTAATTTACTTTTTTGTATGAATGATTCATTGTAATATATACATATATATATATATATATATATATATATATATATATATATATATATGTAAAATATATCCTAGGCTATAGAAGCCGTCTGTCCTGCTATTTTTACCATAGCTGGAGGGAGAGAAAAGAGGATTCATACCTTCCTAAGGGTATTAGCATGTAAGTGAATGTAATGATTCAACTGAATTTGAACTCGGCTCTGCGATTCTTCAATCCAAGCCGCTATCCATTACCCACCGTACTCTCTCTCTCTCTCTATATATATATATATATATATATATATATATATATATATATATATATATATATATATATATATATATATATATATATATATATATAGTAAGTAATGGATAGCGGCTTGATTGAGGAATCGCAGAGCCGAGTTCGAATTCCAGTCGAATCCATTACATTCACTTACGTGCTAATACCCTTGGGAAAGGTATGAATCCTCTTCCTCTCCCTCCAGCTATTGGTAAAATAGCAGGACAGACTGGCTTCTATAGCCTTGGATGGCAACTGGTCGAGGAGAAGGACAACTCTGAAATCAAAACCTGCGCAGGGTCGTTTGGGAACCTTCTAGTATTCGGTGCACCAGGTCTCTGTATTCGTCCCTTCAAAAAGTGTGGATGGTCCTGCACGAGGCCTTCACCACTATAATCAAATCTCATGTGCCGGTGTCGGTTTTCTGGAAACTGATCTGCTTGACCCTCATACGTCGAGTCTCGACGGTAGAGTCGATTATATATATATATTTTGACAGCATATTTTCATTAAGACATGTCTCATTAAACATAAGTAGACAAAACTTGTCTAAATTATTTAATGCGACATATCTTTATATATATATATATATATATATATATATATATATATATATATAGTTACTTTAACATTTAAGCATTGAAATTAATTATTTGTATCGAAAATAAAATACGATGTTCCTAACTGAAGAACAGGATAGAATGCTCAAAAAGGAAAAACGATGACGTTGATTGATGACTGGAAAAGCTAAAATCAATTAACGCCATTTTCTGAGAGCTGTCGTCAATCGATAAGAAACTTATTTAAACATTTAAAAAAAAAAAATATATATGTCTACGTCTCGTTAAAACAGAAACTATTAATTTGATGAATTGCGAACAAGATTTAACCAAACTTCCTTTTTTTTTTTAAAAAGCAGCTCAATAAAACTTTTCTTGCGGGGGTGAGGTCTGATTTTGTCACGCAGCCGTTGAAGTAGCAAGTAGCTTGTAGAATTGTTGTCTGACAAACAGTAAGTGATGAAATATTACGGTAGGCCGTATATGCCAAAATATTCGCGATTATATGCACTGGATCCAAGTCACCCTTCGCGACTGATATATATATATATATATATATATATATATATATATATATATATATATATATATGTGTAAATTAATTGAAACAAAACAAATAATTACATTATTATTTTTTCGTATTTTAACAATGAAACATGACCCAGGGTACTTGTTAGTACTTCGTATGTCCATTCCACGAAGTTGTTTCTTGCAGACTGACCACAGATTCTCGATTGGATTTAAATCAGGATAGTTTCCGGGACAGTCTATAGTACTTTGGTTTGCTCACTGGTTAGGCTTGTTCGTGCAGCGTTACAGTTTTTTACGCTTCCTTGGAGTAACGTCTATCGCAGACAATGGCTGTAAGACAACTAATCGACAATCGAGACATTAGTGTCTGGGCGTGATAAAAATCTGATGCAATCACGGATGAT